TGAAGACTCTAGAGCTAATCCAACACGCTTACAATTGGAAAGGATTAGCCGCGCAGGTTATCAGGTATTGTAAGAAGTGCTTGGTCTTCAATTGAATGAAATCAAATTGCTAGCCCCTCTCTCAGGGTTGTTGATACCAGTCAAAAAGACTGAAGGCCTTGGACTTCTGTATTAATAGATCTTTATTGTGGAGTTACCTACATCTGATGGTTATGACGCCATCATGGTAGTGGTGGACTACTTTACAAAGTTCACCCACTTTATTCCCTGCAGAACCGCAGTAACTTCTGCAGAGATGGCTAGGCTCTCTGTATCTCATGTGTTTGCTCTTTATGGGGTCCCCCAAGAATAAATAGTGATTGGAGGCCCCAGTTTACTTCTGTCTTTTGGGAAAAGTTGTGTAAGACACTTCAGAACCATCCCTGCCATTCAACTTCCTATCATCTCCAATAAGTTGGTCAGACTGAACGAGTGAAAAAGTGCTTGGAATATTTACTGCAGTGTTACACCACTGTGGACCATTCAGATTAGGTTTCACATCTCCCCATTGTTTTGAATCAGTTCTTTCCAGCAGTGGATAAAGTTATTGGGCAATACCAACCATTTAATAGTTCAATAACTTGATAAAATCCCAAATAGTGTTCTGAAAGTCTGCATACCACTATGATGATATTGAAACCATCCTTGATAAGATTTAGGATGTTACTTAATCCTAATGATAATCTTTGAACTCGGGTGAGAGCCAATAGATAACCTTAGGTGGCTGAGTTCAGTATTCTGGAAAAAGGTGTTCATCATAGTAGATATTTCAATAAACTTAAAATCTAAAGGTATTTTTTAAAGATATTTTTATTGAGCTAACTGTCTAAGAACACAGAATTGAGGGATAAAAATATACTCAATTCTTTTTATAGTAAGTTAATAGTTATTTCTTAGACTTTTTTAAGTTTTATGAGATTATTAGTCTGCAATATTAATAATTGTGATTTTGTATATAGCAGTAAATTATTGAGGTTTGGTTTAAAATATGTGATAATTATCAATGATGTAAGAAAGAAGTAGCAATGATCATCAATTAACATTATTCCAAGTTCAGAAGGTCTATTTTTAGACCTGACAATTTGGTCTTGATCAGGTTGATTTAAAATTAAATTAAATTAAAATTTGGGTCCCTTTTTGGTCCAATGGCTAGGATTTCACGCTCTCACCATAGTGACCAGGGTTCAATCCTGTGGAGGAGCCACTCAGTTTATAGATTAATTTTGTATGAAAAATGTGTGAATTACTCCATTTTCTTGAGAATTATTCCAAATTTAGAACCCGTATAAATAGGGGTTTTTTTCAAGGTCCAGGTTAGAGGGAATCTAATGTTAATGCTGGATCAATTGTTAAGTAGTTTTGGATTTTCAGAGCTCATAAACATCAGATCCCTCAAAAGTATAAAAGGACCTTGATTTACTATTAAACTTTGCAATTGGGTGGCTTCTTCCCTAAAATTATCAGTATTCTTATTAAAACTATTGCTTTGTTTATTATTATTAATTCTAATAATAACAATGTGATGGTCAGGAACACCTGTACCATCACATCACCCCACTTTCAAACAAAAAAATTCCCTTATTTTCTCAGGACAATGGTGACAAACATCAGCTGTAAGCCATGTAGACTCTTAAATGGGGTAATTCTACCATTTGACCAGAAATTTTCGTTGCCCCATACCAACTTACTGTCTAATATTTCTTCAACCTCATATTCAGGATTTTTACAAAGCAAAGGTTGGAAGAGGAAAGATTTTTCTGAAAGTTCCCCTTAAACAAATTGAGTTTAGAAACATGGATAGTAGGATGTGCTCTTGATCCTTCTAGTAATGTTGACTCAAAAAGCCACTGGGTTTATTTGTTTAATCACTTTATATAGTCCAATACATACCAACCAAACTTGTTATGTAAAGCTTTGGTATTATATTTATAAGAGTGAATCAACATATAACTTCCCATTTTAATTCCAGGATTATCCCATCTTTTCTTGACCGCCTTCTGTTTCTGCAATTTACTGCCTGATTAAACGCTGCTTTAAGAGTTTCAAAATTTACATATCCTTCTTGGCAATCTCATCTTCTGTGGGGTTTTGAACTCCCACTGAAGGGTTCCAGGAGTCTGAATGAAATCCATAATTGGCAAAAAGGGAGACATTCCAATTGACTCATGAAGCAAGTTATTGTAGGAATATTGGGCTAATCTAACCAATCTCTCCAATATGTCTGACGGCCTGAAACATAACAACAAAGGTATTGTTCAAGCACTTAATTTAGTCTCTATCTGACCATCCAATTGAGGATGATAGGAAGAGGATTGACAAGACTTGATTTGTAGGTTGCCCAGTAGATAGTTCCAAAATTTTCAATACAAAATGAGGTCCTTAATCAGAAATTATTTCCTCCAGTACTCCATGGCAAGAAAAAACTTCCTCCAGAAACAAAGCCACTGCTCCCTTTAAAATGATCTGGGTGGAACATGGAATGAACTCTGCGTACTTGGTTAGCTGGTCCACCACAACCATTATGGCATCAAATCCTCTGGATTTGGGTAAAAAAGATATAAAATCCACACTAATGGATGACCAAGGCTTGTAGGTCTCTGCAAGGGCATTTGCTTCCCCACAGGAAGTTTGCGCTTAGGGCTGACATGTTCACAAGTCAGACATTGACTCACATAATCCAAAACCCATTTTACTATCCCAGGCCAGAAGTAGTTTCTAGTGATTAGTTTTAGGGTTTTAGAGTTTCTGTATTTCCAGCCAGTGGATGGTTATTACAAGCCTCTAAAACCTCCTTCTGTAAATTCTTAGTGGGAACCCAAATCTTCCCCCAGTAATTAATAACATTCTCCTCTTTGCTGAAATCATTGACTTGATTGAAGGTCCATTAACCAACTCATGTAACAGTTTCTTTCCGAGTTTAGTTTTTCCTTGGGCAACCCAAATTCTTCCATTAATTCCCCTGGCTCCATCTTTAATTAGCGCAAAGACATCAGGGGGCTCAAAGTGGTGAACTCCCATTGGAGTATAAGAAATCCATTGGATTAATAGTGACCTCTTTGGTCAACATATTGAACTGAGGGGTAAACCAATGCCATCATTTCATTCCCAACATTACAGGATAATGAAGGTGATTCAGAGTGCAGAAGCTCTCATCAATTAGTTGTTCCCCTTGACAAATTTGAAGACGTCCTTCCATCCTCCAAAACACAGCAGCCTTAGTAGAATCTGCTAGTGACACTTTATTCGCCTTCTCTATGTGCAGATTCCATTTTTGTGTAAACTCCATTTGGATGTAGTTCTTATTGGCCCCGATGTCTACTAAATCTGTCACCTCTTCATAGTTTTGACCATTGACTATTTTAAGTGGAAGGATTAACTAGTAGTAATGTGGAGAGTCCCCTTTGTTGGTATAAATTTCTTGGAATGAAGCAGATGAGGCAAGTTGCTCTGAACTAGCCTAAACGGAACCAAAGGTATTTTTTATGGCAACAACTTCATGACTTTCTTTAGAGTGTGCAGGTTGTTCTGCTTGAGGATGCTTGGTGAGACGTAGGGGTTCAGACTCTCCATGGCGGAAGTCTTTTCCTTTTACACTCTTGAGCCCTTGGGCATACAAAATATCACACTTAGTTTATGTAATTTTAAGATGTTGTTCTACATTCATAGCACATCATATCTTATCCTCCAAATCCTCAGTAATAAGCGAACTGCCATGGCTGAAAGAAGGTCTGGGTGTAAGCTTTGTCTAAAATCTGTGGAAGCTGTGAGGGAGTAACCTTTTCTGTATGAGAAAAGGGACAAAATGAACGTGCATGTTGTTCTACTGATCTCTTCCCCTGAGTTATTAACAACAAAGCTGACCAAGCCGAATCTTGACCTTCTCCAGGACAATAAAATCAATCAAATCAACTGAAGACAATCATCAAGAGTTTGAGGCAGATTCTTTTATTTATACAGAAGATTTATGATCCAAGTGGAAACTTATAGGGTAACTCATTGAAAACTTGAGAAATCTGATCAGCAAAAGTAGGATTCCCTCCCTGCGTTTTAGATAAGTGATCTTGGAAACGCACTTTTTCAAAAACTCATGGACTTTCTCCAAAGATAAGTTTCCCAGGATGAGCTGAATAGGACTGACTTGAATTATGACTGCTTCATGGTTGACAGGACCTTGCAGCCACCCATTCATCATCCAATAAATCTCATGCTTTAAAAACACCAACGTAAAGATGATCATCAGCATGGTAGGAAATATTGATACCAGGCTGGTAAGAGAGGTTGAACAAACACCTCTCTTGAAACTCTCACCACAGACCAAAAACTAGATGAATTCTGTGTAATGTAACGGACCAGTTCTTTCCAGTAGTGGACAAAGGTATTAGGCAATAACAAGAAGATAATAGTTTATAAACTTGATAAAACCACAGATAGTGTTCTGAAAGTCCGCATACCACTATGATAATTTTGAAACCAGCCTTGTATAAGAGTTAGAATAATACTTAATCCTAACAATGATCCTTGAACCCAGGTGAGAGCCAATAGAGATTCCCTTAGGTGGCTGAGTTGAGTATCCTGGAAAAAGTCATTTATCATAGTAGATAGTAGTCATACTTAAAATTAAAGGCATTATTTTGGTTATGTTTTGTTGAGCCAACTGAGCAAGAACACAGATTTGAGGAATAAAAATCTAATCATTTCTTTTTTATAGTATGCTAATAATAATTTGTTAGACTTGTTTAAGTCTTATGAAATTAATAGTCTGCAATAGTTGATAATTGTGATTTTATATATAGGTTTAAAATTATTGAGGTTTGGTTTAGAATATGTGATAATTATCAATGATGTAAGAAAGAAGTGGCAATGATCATCAACTGCCATTATTTCAAATTCAGAAGGTCTATTTTTAGACCTGACAATATGGTTTTGATCAAGTCAAATTTTGATAAAATTAATTATATTTGGGTCCCTTTTTGGTCCAATGGCTAGGATTTCACGCTCTCACCATAGTGACCAGGGTTCAATCCCTGTGGAGGAGCCACTCATTTTATAGATTAATTTTGTATGAAAAATGTGTGAATTACTCCATTTTCTGGAGAATTACTCCAATTTAGAACCCGTATAAATAGGGGTTCTTTTCAAGGTCCAGGTTAGAGGGAATCTAATGTTAATGCTGGATCAATTGTTAAGTAGTTTTGGAATTTCAGAGCTCATATTCATCAGATCCCTCAAAATTATAAAAGGACCTTGATTTACTATTAAACTTTGCAATTGGGTGGCTTCTTCCCATAAAATTATCAGTATTCTTAAAAGAATTATTGTTTTTTTTGTTATTAATTCTAATAATAACAATGTGATGGTTAGGAACATCCTGTACCATCACACCTTGGCCCAATTAGATATAACTTTGCCCAACATGCACCAATTGGTTGTTTCCCCTTCTTCATCAAATATGGCTTCAACCTCGCCTTCAACATGGAGCCCATTTGTGGATCCAAGGTGGAAGCGTTGTTGAACTTTGCAAAGACAATCAAGAAGGTACACCAGGGGTGAACACGAACTTGGATGCAGCTATGCAAGCTTATAAGAAAAACATGGATGGGAAAAGATGGTTAGATCATTCGTATAAGAAAGGGGATCTCGTGATGCTGGATTCTATAAAAATATCCTCATCAAGCAACCATACAAAAAAACAGGGACTGAAGATGATTGGGCTTTACCGCGTTGTCAGAAAGGTGAGCCACACCTCATACCAGTTGGATCTCCCCTTTCATTCAGGATCTTTTCAATCTTTTATGAGAGTAAGCTTAAGTCAATTGAGGGCCCCCCACTAATGACTCCAGAGGCTTGTCTCGTGGATGAGGCGCCGGATTAAGAAGTGGAGGAGAGTGTTTCCTCATGCCAAGTAAAAAGAAGGCTTGAGTATCTAGTATCCTGGAAGGGATCTGACACAGCAGAGAACAGTTGAGTACCAGTGCATGACTGTACCCATTTCCAATACTTTATTGAAGTTTTTCACAAGCGTTTCCCCTAGGCTGCTGGATCTCAGTCAAAGCAAACCATCACCGCTATGATTTTGGCCCCAATCCACAAGAACTTTTCCCTGGTGAACGCCCCTGGAGGGAGGTGGAGCCCCCAAAAAACAAGAGGGTAATTTCATGGCTTAATGACATGATTGAGGGCACATATTGCAGGGATAAAGCTGGACGTCAGGATGCCAAAAAGGTTAAGTTGGAAGGCCTCCCAGACCTTAAACATACCCTGGACCAAGGCTGGGTACAGGAAAAATATGCCCAGGTTGGTCTTGGGAATGTGTGTAATGCTTGGCCTGGCGTTACAGCGAGGGCCAAAATGCACCAGCTACGTTCTCAATCCTGATGGTTTGTTTTGGTTGCTGGAAGAACAAGGTTTTAAAATCCATTTCAATTTTAGTATTACTGAATCAGGTCAAGTCCAATTACAATCTGTAACTTGAGTTCAATAAATTCTGAGCTACTAGACTCTGGCCAATGGTAGCGTGCACCTATTGGTGCAATAAGGCTTAGCACCACTTCTGACAATAAGTCGCTGACCCCCATTGTTTATATATGTTTCCCTGAGACCAATTTTCCTTTTTTGTTGACTTCTTGTAGATAATTTTACATAAGTTTATGTTTATTTGAATATGGTCCTTTGGCAAATCTATGCGCAGACCTCCTCAAGGAGGTCTCTAACAGCATTTGTCAGTTTATATTAATTGATTTTCTCTCATATCTGGTGCATTGCTTGGCTGTCCTGGTCCCCTCCAGACCAAAGCGCCCTAAGCACGCCTGCACCGATCTCCACTTGGTTGTGGACTCCCCATTAAGGGTAAAACCAAGATTTGTTATTTATTTGCTATCTACTACTATATACCGCTCTGTACACCCTTGCCCGTGGTCCCTTATGCTCTGGCATCCTGTAAGTCCAGGGGAACGTCCCCTGTGCGTAGATTGGGCGCTATTTCCATTTCTGAATAAAAGGGGCTAAAGAGGGTGGCTGTACCCCTCATCACCCAGGGCGACCTCGCCCACATGGTAGATGAGCGCTGGGTAACAGCCCTCACTCTTCAGATTCTTCCCCCAGTACCCTCATTCACCTTGGCTGAACTTGTCAGTCGGATTAAGGAAATCTGTGCTAAGATCACCAAATTAAAGTTGAAGGGTCCAAAACTGATGTGATCAAATCCTGACGATTGGAAAATGTATACTCAAAAAGGGACAAATATCAAATTATCAACTGGAATTGCAGACAGTTTTGACTCAACCACCAGTACAATCATTGACACTAACCCCCTCTCAAAATCATCATGGATGATCCCTGATGTGCAGATGGTATCTTCAGAAACCATCGCCAATAGTTGAGACCCCAATCCAGAAAATTGGGAGTTGCAGCTGATGTAACTCATTTGACCAAACAAGCGCAAAGCGACTGGGCATTGGCGGGTTGGGCATCACAAACCCATTTTCAATCAATTGGGACCACCCCTACGTGGGGTGGCCCTGGGGAATTCCCATCGCTCATCAGGCCAAACGCCCTCGCACCAATTTGATGAAAACACAGTTGAGTCTCAGTTCAGGCATTTGAGGTTGAACTGATAGCGACTCAGCCTGCCGCTGAATCCTTTAATGACAGTTCCAATTGAGATTATCTGCCCCATTCCCTAAAAATTTGCTGAATTAGGTCAAATTTGAGGGACCCAATCCCTGCTTGGATTCACTATAATCAAACACTATTTAATCAGTTGCCTTGCACTGAGAAAATCGTCAGTTGATTTTCTTCCTTTATCTTTCCAATAAAAATCCTCTTCCCAAATTTCAGTTTTTATGTTGAAAAACAAACTGTCTTTCCTCCAGTATTCTAACAACCCTCGGGGTTTATGGTTGTATTCATCTGGTATTTTTCTGGATGTCTAAACATGATTATTGCTCATACACAATTTATTTGTGAAACTCCTTCCTAGTTCCATAACCGTCATACCAGCAGCAGTGCCACTAATATTCTAGTTTGCCGTTTTGGTGCTTTGTTACTAAATCTGGCAGGCCTGTCTAAATTTAACTTTCTGTTTATCTGACATAATCAACTAACTAGTATTCCTAGCCATTTACGCCTTTCTCGTAGATATTGCCATAGCAATGGCCCCTTCTTTCCAGCTGAACCAGGTTGTGAAGAAATTTTACTCCAGCCATGTTAGCCTAGTAACACTCAAATTGTCCGATCCACATCCCATAGTTGCTGCAGCTATTGTACCTATGTCAGTATGTTCTGACAATCTGACTTGTGAAGGGCTTACTCCCACTATGAATCTATTGGTTTCCCCTTATTCTACTACCATCTCTTCTGTATCTCCTGATTCAACATCAGCTTCCAATAAAGAGAAATTTGCTTACTTCTTACTGCCCATGAAGATAAGTGTTGGGTCCCACCAAGTTTTCTTTAAGGCTTTGGTGGATACTGGAGCTGCGGGCATTTTTATGAGTGTTGAACTAGCCCAACAATTGGAGCTCGACCTGGACCTAAATCCTTTGGTGATAATTGCTTCTTCAGCCTCCCAGACCTCATACCTAGTACATCGGCCAGTTTCTTTTTCAGTACATCAATTTAGCTTTTGTGATTGGTTCTCAGAAATGCCAAACTTGGTGTTTCTGGCTATCTTGGGGGTTGGATGGTGGCACCAGCAACATGTTAAGATTCACCTGGAGTCAAATATGTTTTCATTTGCCAATGATCAAAAGGAAGGAGCATTTCCCTTAGTTAATACCCTTAAGAAAACACAAGGCCGCAGCTCCATCACTTCCCTCATTTCCCATTTGGGTCTTCCGTCTGACTTTCATGAAGAATTGATGTGCTATAAAAGTATCTTTGATTCTGAGAAGGCATACCGTCTTCCCCTCACACTAAATTCGACTTAAGATTCAGTACAACGGTACAGTTGGTGAACATCAACTGCCCTTTGTATCCACACATGGCAGAAGAGGAGGCTGCTCTTAATACCTAGTTATGTGATATTCTTAAGAAAGGATGGTTGTTTAAAAAGATGTCACCAATTGCCTCTCTCCATCGTTTTTTCCAAGAAGGCTGATGGTTTTCTCCATCCCTGCGTGAATTATGGTCACCTAAATAAAATTACAGTAAGCGATACCTACCCTTTACCCCTTGAGAAAACTATCAGTCAAGTGATTGCAAAGTCTCATGTGTTCTCCAAGATTGATCTTGTCAATGACTTTAACCAAATATGGTTAATGGAAGGTCAAGAATGACTTACTGCAATTTGTACAACATGAGGTATCTTTCAGTTCTGCATAATGCCCTTTGAGCTGAAGAACGTGCCAGCCACCTTTCAAAGAATGATTGATGGTGTGCTGGGAAACCTCCAGTTTACGTGCGCGGTCGCATATATTGATGACATCTTGGTTCATTCCCCAACTCCCAAACATCTCGCTAAAGACTTAGAAGCGGTCATGGATGCTTTGCACAAGGCTGGCCTGTTTGTCAAGTCTTCAAGATGTGAGTTTTATAAGGAAGAAGTTACCTTTCTTTGGAACCTAGTCCTAAAAGATGGTTATGTAATCCCGCCCAACAAGTTGAATGCCATCCGCAAGTGGCCAACTCCAACGACCCAGAAAAATTATGGAGTTTCTTGGGTACCATTATCTTCCTAAAGAAACTTTCCCCAGCCCTTTCCTAGTTAGCTGCTCCGCTTCACCCCCTCATGGGTAAAAATGTGTCTTTCCATTGACCCTCAAGTTCCAGCAGGAATTCAAGTCAATTAAAGAGGTGTTCTTAACACCCCCTATCCTAAAACACACGGATCTCTCCAAACCATATATTGTCACTTGTGATGCTTCAGCAGTAGCAGTTGGGGCAGTTCTGATCCAGGAGCATGATGATTTAGAACATCCGGTGTCCTACTTTTCCTGAAAATTTTCCTCAACCAAGCAATCATGGGCCATTTATGATAAAGTAATTGGCAGCTGTAGCATGGGTGTTGACTCATTGGCGGTATCTGTTAAAGGGTGCCCA